GTTTCACTCTGTACCTGGTGCTCGCAATGGCAGTCCATTGTCCAGACCTCTGGGTTTGGTGGTGATGAACAGATAGCAGAGGACACACAGAGTGATGATGAAGGCGAGAAGAACCACAGCTGCTATTGACAGACCCATGAGGGCTCCGAGACTAGAAGACACAGAACAAAGACACGCCAGAAAGACACTTCCTGGTTACTGTAGCTCAGAGAGGTAACAATATAGCTGATGGCTAGAAATGTACAGGATGAACAACATCAGGCTTTCAATTTTGGCTCATCCATGGTTACCCAGTTCACACAAACTACCAGACTGCTTGTTTTGTTCGCCAGTCCTGGTTACAAATGTTGCCATTGTGCTCATATGTGAGGAAAGTTAAACAGAATACAAACTCCTAAACTAATGTCGCTTGGCACACTGAGTAAGCTGAGATGTAGAGGAGGACAAGGACCATTTACTAGGAGCTCCCCTACAACAAAGTACAAATCATTAATTTCTGCTTGTCTGGTATGTGTACACCTTATCAAGAGTCACTGCTTGAAATTTAGCACTGTCTGTTCTTTTTTATATTTTAAATAAGCAGACAGTTGTTGTAGTAATCATTTCGGGTACACCTTCACAATCATCCCTGCTTCTTTTCACTGCATTTTGAACACCTGCTATTTTACTTTCGCACAAATATGGATACAGGTGTTTTGCTTTAAGCACCTGGATGGAGTCTCATGAAGGTCAGAAATTTGAGTTTGGACCACTGTAGACTCCTCAGCCTCATTTTCAGCTCATTCGGTTCTCATACCAACCTGGCAGCAGATCATTATTATTAGGCACTGATGCTACGTGTGCTACGGTTTTGTTAAGTGTCAAACTGTGGGTTCAGAATTTGGCAGTTTTGAATATTTGCAAATTGTTTTAAAAATGTATGTAATTATGAATGCAGAAAAGAATTGTTAGATTTAAATCCACAATACAAAACTATCTGGAAAGCATATGGTTGACTCTGTTCATCTGAATGTAACATTTTCAACAGTACAGTTTGGACTATTTATAAGATTGGGGAAACCTGCAGTCAGCTGAGACCGAAGAAGTCACTTGGATGTTTTTCCCATTGAAAACGTTACGTCCAGATGAACAGAATCAACTTTTGGGATTTACTAACTGGATGATTGAACATGCATCAAAATATCTGGAGAGCATCTAACTGCTAATGGCTTGTTTTTTCAGTGTGACAATGGTCCCAAACAACTGCCAATGCCATAGAAACATACCTGAATAGAAAAACCAATAATAGCCTCGGCAGTTGTTTGGGATTTACTTACCTGGATGATTGAGCATGCATCAAAATATCTGGAGAGCATCTAACTGCTAATGGCTTGTTTTTTCCGAGTGACAATGGTCCCAAACAACTGTCAATGCCATAGAAACATACCTGAATAGAAAAACCAA